CACCCCGCAATGTTTTCAATACCTGTCAGCTCCCCTTTCTGTGAATCTATTACATACCCTCTGATGCTTCACAGATGAAAATACGGACATGTTTGGAATGTTCCTTTTCTCTGATGAGGGATCGCTCCGTGAATGCCATCACCTCTCCTCTGCTGCGTGTTGTTAAAGTTTCTTCACTACTTGTTTGTGTTGTGTTTTATTTTAAAAAATTCTGCAAAGGAATTTAAAAGCGAAGAGGGACATTGTTCTTTTTTGGCTGAAGAACTTGTTGATCTTCAAGGTGTCTTTGGAACTTGAAGGACAGGGAGAGGGCATCGTCACAAAATGGCTTCCCTGGTAGACAGAGCTAACCACAAAATGGTGTCGTGGGGACTTGGGACCAATCACAAACTGTTGGGAGGTCTACAGCCAAGTGTTGCCCTGTGATGGAGATAGTTGTTTCTGAATGGGTGCCCCCTGGAGACACACACATGATGCCTCCTGGGTTCTTCTGAAGTATCTCCTACTTCTGGCTCTTTAATGAAGCTCTAAGGCAGATACAAGCAGGTACTGTGGCTACAACCCAGGGCTCATCCTGGTGGACCACTCCACTAGGAAACCACGATTGTCCTACAATTTTCTATCACCAATTCAAAATATACCATAGCAGCTGCAGATCCTGAAATGGCAGGTCAAGCCATGCAATGCTGCTGTAGTATTCAGGTTTTTACATTTATGTAAATATTTTATCTATTTAAAACTTTTATCCAGCTTTCCTCTCAGTACTGATGCTCTGCAGTGTGACCCCCTTGTGTGCTAGAGACAAGCTTCATCTCCCACAACCCAAATCAAAGATTAACTTCCTTATGAGCCAGTAGGGTTGCCAAATCTTGAAAACGGACCGGCGGGGGAGCGTCCTGCTAGTCCGGGAGCCGATCGTGTGTTTGTGCGCGCACGCACGCCGCCGGAGTGTCACCCGGAAGTGACGTCACACGCTGGGCGGGGCCACGCCATTTGAGGGGAAAACAAAGAGTTTTCCCCTTCAGGTGGCGGGGCCCCGCCCCCAGCGTGCGACGTCACTTCCGGGTGACGTGCATGCCGGGGCGGAGTTCCCCCCGGGCCCCGATTCCCCGGCGTTGGGTAACGGGCCTCCGGGGCGGGGGGAATTCCGCCCTACCGGGGGGGTTGGCAACCCTATGAGCCAGTGTGGTATAGGGGTTAGGGAGCTGGACAATAGCTGGGGAGACACAGGTTGCAGTCCCCACTTGCCATAAGAACATAAGAACATGAGAGACGCCAATGTTGGATCAGGCCAAAGGCCCATCCAGTCCAACACTCTGTATCACACAGTGGCCAGAAATACCAGTGCCATCAGGAGGTCCACCAGTGGGGCCAGGACATTAGAAGCCCTCCCACTGTTGACCCCCCCCCCCAAGCACCAAGATGACAGAGCATCCCTTGCCCCAGAGCCCCTATCTATACCTTGTGGCTAATAGCCACTGATGGACCTCTGCTCCATATGCTTATCTAATTCCCTTTTGAAGCCGTCCATGCTTGTAGCCGCCACCACTTCCTGTGGCAGTGAATTCCATGTTTTAATCACTCTTTGGGTGAAGAAGTACTTCCTTTTATCCATTCTAACCCGACCACTCAGCAGTTTCATGGAGTGCCCACGAGTTCTTGTATTGTGAGAAAGGGAGAAAAGTACCGCTTTCTCTACCTGCTCTTTCCCATGCATAATCTTGTAAACCTCGATCATGTCACCCCTCAGTCGTCGTTTCTCCAAGCTAAAGAGCCCTAAGCGCTTTAACCTTTCCTCATAGGTTTACTGGGTAACCCTGGCTTAATCATCCTCTCTCATCTTAACCTACTTTATGGGGTTATGAGAATAACGAGGGCCCTTTCTGCACTCTCCTTTTAATTCATGTTCGCCATGGTGTTGTCCAAGCAATTCTGCACTAAAATCGAGTTCAGCCTTCTTTTTATATTCTGGGTTTTTCCTCCCATTCTGCATTACATTCCCTCCCTTCAGTGGTCAGCCCGGTTTCAGCCAGCTGTTGCCCCGGGTTATTTGGATGTTGTTTTGCCTTGGACTTCAATTGCCTCCAATCGAACACTGAGAAAATCCGGAGTGGCAGGCAAATGTGGAATGGACCTAGGAGAGGAGAACCATGTACTCTACCCTGAGCTCCTTAGAGGAAGGATAGGATAGAAACTAAATAAGTAATAAACTATGGGAGTATAGAAGCTGAGCCCTGAAGAGAGATATCCCTAGCAACTCTCCCTAACAAAACTTTAACAAGGCACCTCCAAAGACGTAGGTAGTTAGCTATTTTCCAGTGACGGGTGCTAGAAATTAAGAACTGTGGTTCCTAAATAAGGGAAGTTGGGTTGTATGTCAACTTAGACACTCTGATGGACCTTTTGTTTTCCTCTGGGTCAATTAATCGCTGTAGCTTCCATCATGGAGCCCAGCTCATCAATTTGGAGTGACTGCAAACAAGGCAGGTCAGGAGACGGCATTGTCAAGGTCCTGGCAGGCCATAAAAATATCAATAGTGACTTTGTGCTGGGTTGGATAGTTCAAAGTATACTCCTGATTTCCAGCAGCCAAACCTATGCTACTGGTGCATGCCACTACTTGTGGGAGACTGTTCACGAGAGAATAAGGTTTTTATAACCTGCTTTTCTCTAGCCTAAGGGGTCTCAGAGTGGCTTACAATCATCTTTCCTTCCTCTCCCCACAATAGTCACTTTGTGAGGTAGGTGGGGCTGAGAGAGTTCTGAGAGAACTGTGACTGGCCCAAGGCCACCCAGAAGTCTTCACATGGAGGAGGAGTGGGGAATCAAACCCAGTTCTCCAGAATAGGAGTTCACCTCTCTTAACTACTACACTACACTGGCTCTCACTGATTCAATTAGTTTGTGGCTGTATAACTGTCCGATCCTTCAATACAAATTGTCATGTGTCATACAGAAGGTTTTCTTTGTCCAATATTCTAGTGCTCCATGTACAGGGCATATATTTGGAAAGAAGAACATTCAGTTTGGCGAGCCCCTCTCTGCAGACTGAAGTTCTAAAATCCATAATTTCATTCCCCAATAAAAAAAACTTAGGCCTTGGAGTTATGACTGATGTGTGAAACAACCATCCCAGATCAAAGGCATCAGACCCTTTCCAGTTGTCTCACATCCTTTCAAAACCTATACTTTTCAAGAAACATAAGTTATACAGCATGAAATATTTTGGTGGGTTCCAGAATAAGGTAATTCCTTTCTACTAAGACTCCATGGAGGATTGGGAAGTATGGCAAAGGGATATGGTGATTCAAATTGTTGTCTTTGTCATCCATTAGGATCCATCTTATTTCTTGTTCTGTCATTGATTGTTCTTTTTTTTTAATCTTTTATGCTGCTTTTATACCACTGTTGAGTACATACCAGGAAGCAGTTTTTCTCCAGGCCAGTTGGGCCGGGGTTCCTGGAGGTTTTTTGTCATCTTCTGGGCATTGAACAGGGGACACTGGGGGTGTGGGGAGGAGGTATTTGTGAATCTCCTGGATTGTGCAGGGGGTTGGACTAGATGACCCTGGAGGTCCCTTCCAACTCAATGATTCTGTGATTCTATTTTTTATGCCATTTATATGCAACTGTCACACACATAGCATTCGAGTCCAGTAGCACCTTACGGACCAACAAGATTTCTAAAAATCTCATTGGTCTCTAAGGTGGTACTGGACTGAAATCCATCTCTTCTGCTGCAGGCCAACCTGGCTACCCTCTAAAACAAATAATATTAACCAATATGTGCCTTTTTACAGGAACGTTTCAGCACCTGGAATCAGAGGATGGTGCAATAGTAGAGATTTGTGTGGGTTCGTTTCTTCCAAAGGAGAAGTAAATCTGAAATGAGGATATTCCTGTCAAATTAACAAGATGGGGATATTGAGTTCAAAATCGAACGGGGATGTTTATTTTATTATTATTATTATTGCATTTTTACCCCGCCCTCCCTGTGAACGGGCTCAAATCAGATCACCAAGTGTGTGTCATTAGGTCTCATCCCTGGGGTGGGAAGAAAAGGAACCATGTAATGTGGTGGTCCCCAACGTTTTAGGGCCTGTGGGCCCCTGTGGAATTTTGACAGCCACAAAATGAACTGCCAGTGAAACAGTAAATCACCGTGTACAATTAAATAATATTTGTTGGTTTTTATATGCAATGTTGAGAATTCAGTTATTACCAATAACACTACAATATGTGATATAAAGCTTAGCAGTACATACAAAGTAATACAATACTAGTCACAGACAAATGACGGAGTTCTAGTACACTGTCCGTTTGCGTGCCCTTCATCAGGTTTGTCATTCTGTACTTATTTCTTCATTAGAATGAAGTGCTGCAAGCCATATTTCAAAATGCTTATACAATTTTTGATGTACGCTACCGCGCTTAGATTCTGGTGACTGGGGAGCTCCTATAGCAAGCTCTAATGTGACTGGGTCTACGGCATATAATAATTGGCTAAGCTTCCCTCATACTATTACACACCGTGGTCCTGTTTGTTGTAATGTAACAAAATGAACTGCGGCAGGAGACAGTGGCAGCCACAAAATGGCTGCCGCAGCTGACCTCCAGTCACACAGTGGAGATCCTTGTACTGTGGTGGCAGCTGTTGCCAAAGCAACATTGGTAAAAATCTGTCCACCCAATCAAATCACCAGTGGCCAATCGGAAGCCATGCTGAGCAAAAGCCCCACTTGGCCTCACTCACTTTCTAAAAACACTTGTTGGGCACCAGGAAAGGAGTCAGAGGGTGCCATAATTCCCATGGGCACCTACTGTAATGGAACCCCAAAAGCAAGCCCAGATTTTGAATGCCACGGACTGGTATCTCGTGTAAGTCTTTCCATTAATCAGTTCTTCGAGAACATTAGTGGCTCCCAACTTGAAATCCCCTGATTTATTTTCTGCCAAGATCCGTGACACTGCAGTGCTTAATCTGTTTTCTTTTCCCCCAGCTGTAGTGAGCGCCATCCCAGTCCCGACGCTAGAAAGCGCTCAGTACCCAGGAATCCTGCCATCTCCCACGTGTGGCTACCCACATCCCCAGTTCACTCTCCGACCGGTGCCGTTCCCGACGCTATCAGTAGATCGGACTTTTGGAACGGGAAGAAGTAAGTAGAGGGCTTTGCCTTGTTTCTTTTGCCCAGCTCAAGGGTTTCGAAATAAATAAGAGGCACAGTGCAAACAGACCCCCGTAAGGTGCTTGTGATTGATAGGAGGCTGTCCCGCCCCAGAAGGGAATAAAACAGCCACTCAGCTGAGCCTATGGGAGGGCTGCTTCAGCATCCAATCACCGTTGAGAAGGGGGATAGAATGGTGGAGGGAAGCACTGCAGGAGTGAAGTTGAGTTCTGCCTCCGGGAGAGAGCAGTGAGAGGTCCGGTCTAGCTCAGGGAAAAAAGCAGACAGAAAGGGGAGCTCTACTCGGTATTGTGGCAGAGTGCTTTGGTTCTACCTTTGAGAGAGAACGGAGTACCCGGTTGTTAGGCCTGTCTCTGGCAATGAGCAGATCTGGTGCCATTTAATCTGACTCTGGGGAAAGGGCAGGCTGGTGTGGGTGGAATCCTGTGTGCGAGAGGATGTAAAAGCCTCTTTTTGCCTGAATTACAGACAATTCAAGCTACCTTCTGATGCCATAACGAGTTTAAATTAATGTGCCTCAGCCAGGTTTCTCCTTTGTCTACCTGGGGGCCTGTGCTGCGGGTCTGTTCCTTGAAACCAATCTGTAAATAACCAAGTCTTCTTTGTTGTTTGCATAAAAAATCCTGTCTCAGTGATCTCCGTACTCCATTTGCTTACCACCAAACTTACATCATGGCAGCGGATCCATTCCTATATACTGGCTGCCTTAAGAACACCTGGTAACTGGGAGAGGGGGAATGTTTCAAGTTCCCTAAAAATTGTAGGAGGCTGTGTGGGTCCCCTCAGGGCATTTGAAAGGAAACTTCTCATTACATGACTGATTTAAATTGACTAGGAGGAGGGAATGAAGTTGGGTAATGGTGTGCTTCAAACTGGAGACCATGTAAGCTCCACGAGGTGGTTCTGAATTCTTCTTCTTCTTCTTCTTCTTCTTCTTCTTCTTCTTCTTCTTCTTCTTCTTCTTCTTCTTCTTCTTCTTCTTCTTCTTCTTCTTCTTCTTCCTATTCTCATGATGATGATGCAACAATACAAAAGGTTGTTTGGAATTCAGCTGTCTTAACCATTCCACTTCCATATGTGCTTTGTGGAAATCTCGCAAAAGGAACTCCCCCCCCCCCACTTTCCTGTCAGGATGGACTGAAAAAGCTGCTGAGGAAGTACAAACAATTCCTTTCCCTGCTCACCTTCTGAGCAGCAGCTTATGGCCCCTGCAATCTCTTTATGGGGTGTTTGCTGAACTTTCCCTATGAGGAAAGGTTAAAGCGCTTAGGGCTCTTTAGCTTGGAGAAAAGACGACTGAGGGATGACATGATTGAGGTTTACAAGATAATACATGGGACAGAGCAGGTAGAGAAAGAGGTACTTTTCTCCCTTTCTCACAATACAGGAACTCGTGGGCACTCCATGAAATTGCTGAGCGGTTGGGTTAGAACGGATAAAAGGAAGTACTTCTTCACCCAAAGAGTGATTAACACTTGGAATTCACTGCCACAGGAAGTGGTGGCGGCTACAAGCATGGACGGCTTCAAGAGGGAATTAGATAGGCATATGGAGCAGAGGTCCATCAGTGGCTATTAGCCACGAGGTATAGATAGGGGCTCTGGGGCAAGTGATGCTCTGACATCTTGGTGCTTGGGGAGGAGGCAACAGTGGGAGGGCTTCTAGTGTCCTGGCCCCACTGATGGACCTCCTGATGGCACTGGTATTTCTGGCCACTGTGTGACACAGAGTGTTGGACTAGATGGGCCTTTGGCCTGATCCAATATTGGCGTCTCTTATGTTCTTACGATTTTGTGTTTCACTTGAAATACATGTCGGTGATTTCCCCTGGGGGCTGTGTGTTGTTTCTGTACCAACTGTAGTGAGGACCCATCCTCCTTTGGTGAAAAATGAAGCTGATGTAGACTCCCCCAGCCCTTTTTCTTGGTTCCTCACATGGGGATCTTGTTGAGGTCACTCAAGGGAACTTTCCTGGTCAGACAACTAGATTTGAGTCCAGTAGCACCTCAGAGACCAACGAGGTTTCTGGCATATGAGCTTTCAAGAGTCAGGGATGTCATATCCCTTTGTCAGCTTTGACCCTCAAGAGCTCATTCCCTGCAAATCGGTTTGGTCTCTGAGATGCTACTGGACTCGAATCTCGCTCTTCTCCTGCAGACCTGACTGGCTAAGCTTTGAAACTATCATTTGGTCTAACATTACCACCAAGCGAATGAAGACGTCAGAGGTTGTCAAGCCAGGGGCACAAAATGCCCACGTCTTACTTCTCCATGACTGAAACTCTTCGAAGCCTTCTTTGCCCTCTCCATGATCCGGTCAGGGCCGGCCTCATCATCTCCCCGTGAACAGAGGGAGATCTTTAAGCTGTCAAAGCAAGATGTGCTCATAATCAACCAGATGAAAACATTGCGCGCATCACTGCTGACATGTAAGAAGCCAGCCGAGCGGTGCATTTTCTTATGCCTCAGTTCAAGAGCTTTGGATGGGCTTAGGCGGGACTTGAACTTAATAGCTGAACTTTCCAAGGGGCTTTCTCTTGCCATTGCCTATACAGCAGAGACAGAGAGAGAGAGGTGTGTGGAGGAACAGGTTTTATCTCTTTTCTCCCATCCTCTGCTTCCTCCAAGTATAGTAAAACTGGAATATTTGTTGCAGTAGAAAAGAGCAAGAGTCCAGTGACACCTTAAAAACTAACAACATTTATGGCAGGGGATGAGCTTTCATGAGTCGCTGCTCACTGCTTCAGATACAGTGAGCAGTGACTCACGGGAGCTCCGAATTTTGTTAGTCTTTAACAGAGGTCGTTTTGTAGAAAAAGAGCTAGGGGAACTCATTAGCATAACTCATTAGCATATGCCACACCCCCTGACATCACCGGAAGTGTGTCATAAGGCCACACACCCCACCCCCAATGGTCCCGGCCGCCACCGCCGGCCTTGCAGCTCCACTGCCGAGCCCCATTAGGAGCCCGGCGGTGGACCTGCAAGGCCGGCGGGAGTGCAAGGAAGCCCCGCGAAGGCCCTCCCTGACCCCAGGCAGGCAGGGGTGGGGAGAGGCAGGGAGGAAGGAACTTACCCTCCCTCTTCTCCTGCCTCCTCCTGGCTGAATGAGGGCCGGAAGCGGGGCGGCCGGAAGCAGGGGGCGGGGCTTCGTCATGTGCCCCGCCCCCTGGACCTCACCCGGGGGAATTGCAATCCCCCGTGATCCCCCCCGAAATGACCTCTGGTCTTTAAGGTGCTACTGGACACTTGCTCTTTTCTGCCGCTACAGACAGACTAACACAGCAACCCATCTAGATCTATCTTCTTGGAATATTCATTGTGTTGAAGATAAGTGGCATGCCTGCTTTAAACCATAACCTATTGTTTTAACGTATTGATCTAATTTTAATCGGAACTGTGTATGTGATATTTTAAATTTTCCTTTTTGTTGATTTATGTCTTCGATGCGAGCTGCCCTGAGCCCACTTGCGGGGTAGGGCGGGATATAAACCACAAAAAATAAATACATAAATAAAATAAACCCTTTCCCACATTGTCATTCTCAGTCAGATGACTGATGAAAATAGCACCACTCGGGCCAGTTTGAAAGGGACACTGGATGGATAAAGTCAACTTCCCTGTGTGAGATTCCACCTTGGTAGCTTTATTATTATTTTCAAAATTTGTATCCCACCTTTCTGCCCTTACAAGGGGCCACCAAGGCGGATAACCATTTAAAACACACACGATAAAATTGTAATGCCATTAAAAATCAACCTCACTCCCAAACATACATCATTAACATGATTTTTAAAATAGTTAAAATGCTCTCAAAACAGTTAAAATACATCTAAAACATAAGAACTGAACAGATTTTCAGCAATGCTGATTCTGTGAACTTAGGCAGATCCTGAGAAGGGAGGGCAGGAAGGGTTGCGTCAATGCTTAGTTCTTGTGGCCCTCGCCACTTTGGGGTCAGAAAGCAATTTTCTCCTGGGCAGTTTGGCTAGGGATCCTGGAGGGTTTCCTCCCCCTCCCATCTTCTGGGCATGGATCTGGGGTCATGGAGTGTGGAGGAAGGAGGTAGTTGTGAATTTCCTGCATTGTGCAGGGGGTTACACTAGATGACACTGGAGGTTCCTGCCCACTCTATGATTCTGTGATTCTAAGAACACTGGATAAGGAGGAGGGACCATTGAGGAAATGCCAAATGAAACCCCCCCCCGCCAGAAGGTGGCAGGGGGGGGGGGGGGTGAGTCTCCCTGGGGAGAGAATTCCAGAGCTTTGTTGCCATGACTGAGAAGGCCCTCTCCAGGATGACCACCTGCCTAATCTCAGAAGGTGGGGGACCGGAAACAGAGCTTCTGAAGACGACCATAATGGGTCTTTCAGGTACCTTGGTTCCAAACCTTTAGGCCTTTAAAGGTTAAGCACCTTGAATTGTGCCTGGAAGCAATTTGGAAGCTAGTGTAGATGGGCGAAGACTGGAGCGATACGGTCCCTTTGACCCACTTGTCAATATCCAGTCCCATGTAGAACACACTACAGTACTCTAGTCTAGATGTAACCAGGTCATGGACCACAGTGGCCAGATCTTTTCTGCTCAGGAGAAACCACAGCTGGCTAATCGGTTGAAGCTGGTAAGAGGCATTCTTGGCCACAGCTGCCACCAGCTTATCCAGCAGTAGGCCTGGATCCAAGAACACCTCCAGGCTATGGACCTGTTCCTTCAAGGAGAGTGTAATATCATCTAGAACAGATGACTTCTTAAATCCCTGGTGAGGCTTTCTGCCCGCCAGTAGCACTTCCATCTAGTCAGGATTAAGCTTCAGTTTATTAGCCCGTACCCACTGCAAAACTTCCTCCAGGCCTCCATGGGATCAGCTGGAAGCACAAGATAGAACTGAGTATCATTTTCATATTGGTAACAGCCCAGCCCAACTCTCTGGATGACCTCACCCAGCACTTTCATGTACCTGTTAAAGAACA